AGAAAGTAGTAATGTGCTCACACAAGTGCGAACTGAAAGCCGAAGCCGGGAGAACTCTCCGTCAGAGTAGGCTGTATCCACCACCAGGGATAACCGAGTAGAACGTGACGCTGGGAGATAAATGGCTCACAAATTGGAGAGACGATCAGCGAACTGGAAGCGCCAATTAGCTGAGGTAAAGTGAGGTGCGTAATGCACGGCCCCCTCCGAAGTAATACGACAAGTGGTTCCGGGGGAAAAGGGCAAGGCGTCTAAGGAGGTTTTAGTGCGGTAAGAATCCCACACACCGTGTCACCGACTGTGCGCCCAGTCGTCAAGCGGTGGCACGATGGCCTTTTTGAAGGTTTCCTCCTTGCCAAAAAAAAAAAAAAAAAAAAAACAGACAGACAGACAGACAGACAGACAGACAGACAGACAGACAGACAGACAGACAGACAGACAGACAGACAGACAGACAGACAGACAGACAGACAGACAGACAGACAGACAGACAGACAGACAGACAGACAGACAGACAGACAGACAGACAGACAGACAGACAGACAGACAGACAGACAGACAGACAGACAGACAGACAGACAGACAGACAGACAGACAGACAGACAGACAGACAGACAGACAGACAGACAGACAGACAGACAGACAGACAGACAGACAGACAGACAGACAGACAGACAGACAGACAGACAGACAGACAGACAGACAGACAGACAGACAGACAGACAGACAGACAGACAGACAGACAGACAGACAGACAGACAGACAGACAGACAGACAGACAGACAGACAGACAGACAGACAGACAGACAGACAGACAGACAGACAGACAGACAGACAGACAGACAGACAGACAGACAGACAGACAGACAGACAGACAGACAGACAGACAGACAGACAGACAGACAGACAGACAGACAGACAGACAGACAGACAGACAGACAGACAGACAGACAGACAGACAGACAGACAGACAGACAGACAGACAGACAGACAGACAGACAGACAGACAGACAGACAGACAGACAGACAGACAGACAGACAGACAGACAGACAGACAGACAGACAGACAGACAGACAGACAGACAGACAGACAGACAGACAGACAGACAGACAGACAGACAGACAGACAGACAGACAGACAGACAGACAGACAGACAGACAGACAGACAGACAGACAGACAGACAGACAGACAGACAGACAGACAGACAGACAGACAGACAGACAGACAGACAGACAGACAGACAGACAGACAGACAGACAGACAGACAGACAGACAGACAGACAGACAGACAGACAGACAGACAGACAGACAGACAGACAGACAGACAGACAGACAGACAGACAGACAGACAGACAGACAGACAGACAGACAGACAGACAGACAGACAGACAGACAGACAGACAGACAGACAGACAGACAGACAGACTTCCCTGCCGAAAGAAGGCGTGATCAGAGATTTTATGCCTCATTGAACCCAGGCCTTTTGGCGCCGCTAATATACTAATTCATACATTGGTTGGCATAGAAAGCTCTCAAGTAATATATCTGGAAGTGCATCTAGAACACTCGCTACAGAAGTGTAAACAGCCTAGAAGAAGAAAAAGATTTGAATTCGTTGGAAATGCTATACTAATATCAACATGAAGCTTTTTTTTTTTCCTTTGGTTTGTTTTTTCCGTCGATCTTGTTTTCCGTGCTGAGCACCAATGCTACCGACGTGCCAGGAAGGCAGCTTCCACACCTGGACCCTACCTATCGACCCATCAACTCATGAGCCGGGGACCAACGGCTTTACTTCCCATCCGAAGGACGGCGTGATCAGAGATGTTATGCCTCAGAACATCCCGGCGGCGCCGACTGGGATTGAACCCAGGCCTGCTGGGGTGAGAGGTAATCACGCTTACCACTACACCACCGGCGTCGTTTAACATGAAGCTTTAATGTGATAATTTATTAACTAGATAAAGTTTTGAAGGGGATAAGTTGATACTTCCACTAGAGTACGGCAGTGTGAAAATTGAATAGAAGTTGAACTTTAGCGAAGGGCCATTAATGCGACGGTACTAGCATAGACGTAACTCTAAGATCAGAAGGTCCCGATGAAACGTGCTCAACTTATTGGCTCAGCTCTGGTACCCTCTTCTGTTCCAAGCTAATCGATGCACCCCTCGAAACATAGGAAAATCCACGAATCCATGTCTGTCTGTCTGTCTGTCTGAATCCATGAAGCTTTAATGTGATAATTTATTAACTTTTATCTCATTTTATCTGTCAAACTTGCATAGCGAATCAAAACAAACATAGTGTAGTATTTTCTGTTGCAGTGGTGACTGGATTTTTGGGAATATTTTAAGTCGCATTTTGATGGTACGCTGACGAAAAACAACGAATGTTTTGGTAATTTCACGCCTAGAACGCTATTGAGTTTAACACATTTGGAAACAAAAAAGGTGTACCATTTGAATTTAAACACGTCTCAAAATCATTTTCAATCTAATTCATACTTGGAAAACCATATAATTGTTCACAAATAAGTAATTTAGAATTGTTTGCAAAATTGCAAATATTTTGCAAAATTATTTTTGCACGTGTTTCGAGTAGAATGCAATGAGAGTGTAAGATCTTGAAATCAAAACAACAACAAAAACCAAAACAGACACTTTGTTGTTGTTGTTTTGTATTCACTTCGGATAAGCATAACTGTCACTTTGACAACTCTATCTGTCATACGCATGGCCCGCACTTATTTCATCCCCGCACTTTCGCCGGCGCCGGTGGTGTAGTGGTAAGCGTGACTGCTTTCTAACACCCCGATGGGTCTGGGTTCAATCCCAGCCGAGGTCGGTGGGATTTTTCTGAGGCATAAAAATCTCTGGTCACGTCTTCCTTCGGAAGGGAAGTAAAGCCGTTGGTCCCGGCCCATGTGTGTTGAATGGGTGCGATATCCTACGCAGGTGTGGAAGCTGCCTTCCTGCACATTCGATTGTCGTCAATGGATGGCAATCGATGTCCGTCGGTGATTGGCACTAGATTGCGGAACAGAGACCGATGTTAAATAAAGGAAAGAAGAAGAAGAAGAAGAAGAAGAAGAAGAAGAAGAAGATCCCCGTACTTTCAACGTGCGGAGTCCAGTAAGGTGCAAAATGCGCAATACTTGCATTTTGGCTAGAATAGGGTACATTAATCGATTTGTTTGGGACCAATTGGCGTTGACGGCGACTCTGTAGCTCTTTACTCCAATGGTAAAATCCATAAGCAAACGTCAGACTGTGCGTGAAACATGGCGGACTTCGTACTATCTTTTCACTCCACTAAAAATTCCTATTAGAAACTGTCAATCTTTGCTAGAAGAGACGATTTTTCGGCGGTGCCGTCAACGCCAATAGGCCAGTCAAGTAGTGAGCCAATTTAATATCGTTAGTTTCTACCGGCTGGTACTAGTCAAACGCAAACTCCTTTACCTAACCCATACATTAATGAATGAGGGGACTTGATGTTTTTCTTCAAATCCGCAGAATGTTGTCCAAATGCTAAAAAAATGAATATGTAGTTGCTATGACAATAACTAACAAACCTGTTGTTGTTACGGTCAGTTAGGCAGCAATGTAAAAAAATGACGTAATATGATAGTTGAATATGTACCAGACAACAACACCAATTTCATCACAACAACAACAGTATTGTTATTAATTGTTATATAACATAATACATATTAATTCCTTTTTTTTCAACGTTTGAACAACTAGAACCGAAGTTAAAGCGATGTGAGTGACATTCAATGATTTCCCACAGTAATTCAACAAAATATAAACTTCAAACCATTTGTGTGACATCTAAACCGTAATCAATCTTTACCATTTTTGCACAGATCCATATTTTGGGGTTATGACTCAAACTAAAGGGTGGCCTATAAGAAATCTAATATTTTTTTTTTCAAAATGATGCAGCCTACTATCAATTACATAAACAATATTTCGAAATTGAAATCTTTTCCTTCTAGCCAAAAACGGAATAATACTGTATAAGCATTAAGGTACACCGGGGTAAGTTGAAACGGGCGGGGATGTTGAAAGCTACCTTAAAGGAAAAGCGTAATCAAGGCCTGATAATCTCCGTGATGCAATAACAAGAATGAGTCATAAACCTTTGAAGTTAAAGTTTAAAACTACATATATTATTTTATGTGTTTGTTATTACTTTAATTTGAGGTTTATTTTAGGCAAATACACAACATTGTCTTAGTAATATGTAAATCATTTTATTTACCGGAAGACAGAGTTAAACTCGAAAAAATATATGGGTCGCGTTGACACGTTATTTCTAGTAGCATTTATATATGACATACTGATTGGAAAACAAAGCATGCCATTTCTACTTACAATTTTTAAAAGCTCCCAACTGCCGCTCATTTCCATTTGGTCAAAACTGAGTTTTTCAATGGAAGTGGTAGCTAACGCATAGTTTCATAATACTTGATAAACTCAACAAGTTTGTTCTGGAAAAACTTAGAAATATAGCCAAACCTATACCCTCATATTATCAGGTTTGCTTTGTGAGTGAGGAAGTCTTTTCAACGATAAACAATAGGTCACTCGTTGTAGTAATAGTAGTCGCGTGTCAAATAAACACTTCTCTATCATGGCGTCGTCCTTGGCTAGACCGCGAAGTACTTAAGCTAACAGTAAGCTTAAAAACAGTCAACGTCTTTCTATTTATCGCCGAACGAACTTGGCTGCATGTGCACTTGATCTGTTTCTTGTTTGACTGTATGCCATTATCAAATGTGGTAATCACACGATCACTTGAATAAATACGCTTTGGAGATGTACTGTTGCGCTTAGAAATGCCGGTTCATCAAAAGAATTTGAATGTTCCGATGAACTAGAACAGGGCCACATACTGGCACCATGTGCGAAAACAGAACAAAACGATTGATGTTTGGTTGGTAACATCTGTTTTTCTACAGAACTAATTTGTAAATTTTCCTTTATTCCTTACCTGCTGCAGATGCCGTGGAGGTTGTGGTGTTAGGAAAGGCTTCGTTCCGTCACCACCAGCACCGCTCTTATCATCTTTCTTCTCATCTTCCACTGTGGCCTGATTGGTTTTGGCCAGCTCCTCGTTAACCTTTTCGCGAAGAACCTTTTCGTACCTCGCCGAGGGTATGTGCACAACAAACATAACACCGGACATGGTGACTGAAGTGGAGGTCGCCAATCACAGCCGAGCACTTGCACCCCGCACTACTTATTCTAATTATATGTGTAGTAGCACCACACGTGCACTACCAAGCCGGCCGGAAAATATTGATTTCTTGCACCGAAACTAGAACGTTTAGACACGAAACAGACGCTTTTCCGTCTGCATATAAAATTGAAATTTTATTTTAGATGCTTGTCTCACACCCGATTGCTCCTTCTAAAACGCCGTCCGCCGAGACCAGTCTTGCACGAGATTCATATCGTCAAAATTTGAACAAAAGGAAACAGTCACTTCGAACCGTCGTCTACAACACTGCGACACTCGACGACACCACGATCAACACTGAGTACCACCTACTGACAACGGACTACTCGACCCACGATTTAACAACGACGACGCCGACAAGAGTTGGAGAGCTAAACCATTGCCCGGTTGTCCGTTACTACTCAACGTGAGAGAGGGATTTTGAATAACAGTTTTACATGGTTTACTTAGGCTGATTCAGTGGCGTGAAGTGGCGATAGGTAGGGGGGATTGATCGTTATAACATTCATCGTGGTATTCGCATTCATTCTTGTGCTCATCCTTTAATTTACACATCTAGGGTAAGGAGTGGAAATATTTTGATCAGATGAAAATAGGAGGGATGCGATCATCATTGTGAGTCACATTTTGGTGGAATTTCGATACACATGACGGTTGCAAATGGAAGCACCGACAAAGGTAGACGTGCTTCCCTATTATGATGAATAAGTTGTTTTTTTTTGTAGCTCCAATAGGTTTCTGTCTTATGCAGCGGCACATCAAGTTTTACCAGTTACTATGGCAATAATGAATCCGAAATAGTAGAAACATGCATTTAAGGAGATTGGGCAAAAATGTATGTAGACAGGTCCTAGCATGTATATCAATGAATGACATCTCATTTGAAAGCTCTCATTGGGACAAGAAAAAGTTGGTATCGGCCAAAACTTTTTAGCGTGGGAGAAAAAAGTCATTGATTCTGTAATGTTTACAGTTACTTAATATTTTTACTTATTTTGCGATATACAGGGTGATTCAGAATAACTGTCACCGATTTCAAAAACATACAATCCTCAATGGGTGAAACGGGTATATGTTAAAGTATTTTTATTTAAAAGTGTGTACAAATATCAGCTTGATCAGTTTTGATAGTAGGACTTGCAATTTCATTCGTTTTCAATTTCAAGCAGCGATGGACGTGAAAATAGAGCTTGTCATAAATTCGTATATATCTGTGTGTTATCTCTTAGAAACTAAAATCTCTTCGAAAGAATAAAACATTAAATTTCCACATCATTATAGAGGTAAAAATGAACCATGCGTGGAAAATCCATTCAATATCAGAGCTTAGACGCCTCTCTAGGACTTCAAAAGTGTTGGAATTAAAACGTGCGTGGCAGCTGTGGTCTTTTCTGATTTTTATCTCTCAATCTATGGAATCTACACGAAAACTATGTTTGAACAAAATTTCTAGAATAGTATAAGAAACATTATGCCGTAGACTACACATTTTAATATCAAATGGGTTGAACATTCGTAGAACAAATACTTTGAAATTCTTCACTTTTTAAGATATCTTCGAGCATGAAACTAAGTCAAACTTCAATAAAATCACTTTGAATAGTTAACCTTTGGTCACAAAGTTGGTAGATAACACATTAAGCTTTGCTATGTAAGTTGTTACAGCAGTTTTCGTTGTTTAAGTCTCAAGATACAAATATTGTAAGCCGTAAATTACCTTAAAAACATAAAATTAATTTAAAGCACCTCTAAATCATCACCGATTTTACAGAAGTTCAAATTAACATGACGAACAGTAAGCACGATTGACCCGGTGCATCTCGAACATTTCTGTTAAAATGAAAAGGTCTAATGGATATGTTTGATTTTTTCTGCTCGATATGCGCAATATGGGCGATTAGGCTGAATTAACTCTTTACCCTATTATTAAGCTTTGGCGATGATCAGATAAACAGGTTTACAATTATTAAAATTTATGGAAAGCTAAAATCATAATTTGTGTTTTGCAAAAATCGGACTCTCAGTATGCTCGATCAATAATTATAATCGATTGTTAAAATTGCCATATGACTTATTTCAATCATTTACAAGTTAGGTTAGGTTTTATTTATTAGGGAGGCTTTCAGCCTGGGGCTGGTTCATCTCCATCATAAACAAGTTTCAGCCAAGACTGCAAACGGTCATTTCGCTATAAAAAAGTTTTTTTTTTAAATTAGGAAATCATTAGATGTTATGATGATGAAGTAATGAAATTGAATAGATTTTCCTCCTTCATTTTACTCAAATCTTTGGTTTTAATTAGTTAGGTAGGTTCCGATTCAACACATTGTAGTTTCATTTTTATACCTGTGATCTTGACTTTTATACCTAGGGGATGAGTACTTAAGGGGGTTAGATTTTGATAAGTTCTTTAGTGGGAATGACACTCATGAAGACTGCACATTGTAGTCAAAATACGTATCTGTCATGGATACCAAATTAAGTGGAATTAAATGGAAGATAACCATGTTTTTGCTGTTTTATTTTAGTTATGATGATATTTTGAACTTGTAAGTAACAAGAGTCAAACACATTCTATACAAACTCGTATGTGTTTGACTCTTCATGCCTGTCGATTTCACATTCAGAGAGTCACAATAGCGATGTTATGATCGAGTTAGTGACAATTATAAAAAAAAACGCTGATCGTGACTCTTAAAAAAGTGGCAACTTATTCTTATAACTTCCAAGTACACCCAATTATTTTTAACGCGACCTTTTTTTTTGTAATTCAGTCATTCCTTTTTCTTAACCGGTATGACCTCGACTGTGTGTGATCTATTGTTTAGTTGTGTGATATTTAATAAATTTGTTTACGTGAGTGGAGTAGGTTTTAGGAATGAACGATGTCGTGATCATGATAGAACTTATTTTTTTTATAATGACCAGCTTTGAAATATTCTATAAGCATCCACAATTATTGTATGCAGGTATTTGAAGGTCAAAATTGAGCTTAAAACTTTAAATGGCTTTGAAACTTCTAAAACAATCCCTCATGCCAGAGACCTGCAAACCTAAAAAATGACATGAAAAGAAAAATTCTCCAAAAAATATCAAACAAGCTTTAAAAAGCCAAACAAGTGCATAAACGGCTTTAAATGCGCGAACATTTTCTGAAACACTTAAAAAGATATCAAAACATATGACTGGCCATAAAACGACAAAGTAGTATAAAAATAATGATAAACATTAATTACCTTAAAAACGAAACAAAAAATGACTTAAGTATCGATAATGTTCCATCATTGAAACACTCAATTATTCTTCAAATGATTAAATAACGTATAGCGAGAATTCAAATAACGACAAAAATATTAATCAAATGACAAAATTTCTAATTTTCTAAACAGATTTAAACGCTAAAATGCCTTAGAATAAAAATAGAATAAACTTTAATATGTCATGTTATAATAATCTTTAGAACAACAACTCTTATAAATAATAAAACAAAGTCATGGTTTTTGAATCCGCCTTTAACATGTGAAAATGACCAAGGAAACACCAAAACATCCTGAAATTAAATGATAGCTTTGAAAATCCATTAGCTCAGTCGGTAAAGGCGCAGCTACAAAGCAAGACCATGCTGGAGGTGGCTGGTAATGTATAAAACATTTTTATAGTTTCCATTCATCAATGAATCACAAAATTGACATTGTAAAATGGGTTTGAAACGCCAAAATATGTATGGGAGTAAAATTGCTGTAAGTGGTTTAAATTAGTATTAGAAAATTGCTGACCAACTGATCTGAATTTCTGCGACCCTCCAGTGAGTCGTGACCCATATATTGAGAAACACTTAGGCGGAACATATAGTGTTTGTGCTTGCCACGAGAGTTGCAATCTAACACAATCACGATGGTTAAACAGCTGATGAAAATATCGCTTGGTACAATTCTATCAATTTACTTGTCGAAACACTTTCCATGAGCATCCATCAAGTTGAAGAAAGCAGTAAAAGCAACTGGTGAATACCACGTTCGGCGGTGACATTCAACTGCGCTCATTTTGAAGCAGTTGCTGCTTGACTTCCTTATGCGAATGTGTTGGTGCGTGATCCCAATGAATTTTTCCAGTTTTGTTTGTAACTCCCCTAATAAAAATAACCATTAAAGAGAGCTTAACGACGTGTTTGGGGTATCATCCAAACCATTTGTGGGATAGTTTACCTATCCGGGATACAGTTCGTTTATGGTATTTGATTATTAGGGTCACATCGTCACGCCTGCCGTGTTCAGCATGGAATGCGCAGGAATTGTTTTCAATTTCTTTGTCGTTTCAAATTTTTGACGTAGGACTATGTCTTTAATTTATATACTGCAGTACACTTTGTGAAATCCGAAAATGGAACATGAAACAAAATTATGAAAGATTTTGAACATTAATAACTAAGCTGCCCCTGGATCAATTTCAATAATTTTATCACCAATCGATCAGAAATATGTCTACGCAATCCTTCTAACTGATGATTTTCAACAAAAAAAAAAAAAACTATTGAAAAAGTGATAATGTTAAGCATTATCCAAAGTACAAATAAAAAGTGATAATTTTTTCACTGTTTTCATGAAATAAACGTTGTTCCCAAACGCAGTCGTCGTAATCGAGTACCACTTGGTTGCACTTGAAAAGATATAAAACAACGCTGCTGTCTAGCCTCAACTCATTTTCGCTTCGGACGCCGTGGTGAGCAGACAGCAGGATCAGCAAAAGCAGTCGCCTAGCTCTCCGTGGCGGTGTCAAACGTGTCTCCAGTCTGATCTCGAGGTGTGGTGAAGGTGTTCTTGGAAAATGAGATCCGTGATGCTACCACCTACACTGAACACGCCAAGCGTAAGCGACCATGGATGTGTCGTCTATGCTTTGAAGCGACAGACGCACTCTGTACGGTTTCGGAGGTTAAATCATCGCCAACTTTGGCAACAAAACGGCCCTTCTCAGGGCCACCAAGCTTATAACAGTAAAGAGTAGGAATAGAATTTATCTGCCTGTTTGTCCATATTCAGCACCACATGCCCCCAACGACCACACAAAATGCTCTTCAAAGTTGTAATCTTGTAACCAAACTTGGAAGCAGGGGTGCAAGTGATTTTGATCAATTCTCTTCATCAACTTTCTCTTTAAAAAAAAATACTACAAATTTGGTACGCCTAAAAATCAAAAACGGAAAGAGTTAAGATAATAGATGATCGATCAATTAAAAGAACTAAATTTTCTTCACATTTGTTCCGTGCCCTAGCGGTCCTACGCCAAGCTCCCGTTCGTGCCCCTAGGCACAGACCCTTCTACTTTTTTTGTCATCATC